CAGTAGAAGTGTTGGGTCACACGATGCAACACGACCGACAGTACTGTCTCACGTCGTTTTGGATTCCTGGCCAGTAGAAGTGTTGGGTCACACGATGCAACACGACCGACAGTACTGTCTCACGTCGTTTTGGATTCCTGGCCAGTAGAAGTGTTGGGTCACACGATGCAACACGACCGACAGTACTGTCTCACGTCGTTTTGGATTCCTGGCCAGTAGAAGTGTTGGGTCACACGATGCAACACGACCGACAGTACTGTCTCACGTCGTTTTGGATTCCTGGCCAGTAGAAGTGTTGGGTCACACGATGCAACACGACCGACAGTACTGTCTCACGTCGTTTTGGATTCCTGGCCAGTAGAAGTGTTGGGTCACACGATGCAACACGACCGACAGTACTGTCTCACGTCGTTTTGGATTCCTGGCCAGTAGAAGTGTTGGGTCACACGATGCAACACGACCGACAGTACTGTCTCACGTCGTTTTGGATTCCTGGCCAGTAGAAGTGTTGGGTCACACGATGCAACACGACCGACAGTACTGTCTCACGTCGTTTTGGATTCCTGGCCAGTAGAAGTGTTGGGTCACACGATGCAACACGACCGACAGTACTGTCTCACGTCGTTTTGGATTCCTGGCCAGTAGAAGTGTTGGGTCACACGATGCAACACGACCGACAGTACTGTCTCACGTCGTTTTGGATTCCTGGCCAGTAGAAGTGTTGGGTCACACGATGCAACACGACCGACAGTACTGTCTCACGTCGTTTTGGATTCCTGGCCAGTAGAAGTGTTGGGTCACACGATGCAACACGACCGACAGTACTGTCTCACGTCGTTTTGGATTCCTGGCCAGTAGAAGTGTTGGGTCACACGATGCAACACGACCGACAGTACTGTCTCACGTCGTTTTGGATTCCTGGCCAGTAGAAGTGTTGGGTCACACGATGCAACACGACCGACAGTACTGTCTCACGTCGTTTTGGATTCCTGGCCAGTAGAAGTGTTGGGTCACACGATGCAACACGACCGACAGTACTGTCTCACGTCGTTTTGGATTCCTGGCCAGTAGAAGTGTTGGGTCACACGATGCAACACGACCGACAGTACTGTCTCACGTCGTTTTGGATTCCTGGCCAGTAGAAGTGTTGGGTCACACGATGCAACACGACCGACAGTACTGTCTCACGTCGTTTTGGATTCCTGGCCAGTAGAAGTGTTGGGTCACACGATGCAACACGACCGACAGTACTGTCTCACGTCGTTTTGGATTCCTGGCCAGTAGAAGTGTTGGGTCACACGATGCAACACGACCGACAGTACTGTCTCACGTCGTTTTGGATTCCTGGCCAGTAGAAGTGTTGGGTCACACGATGCAACACGACCGACAGTACTGTTTCACGTCGTTTTGGATTCCCGGCCAGTAGAAGTGTTGGGTCACACGATGCAACACGACCGACAGTACTGTCTCACGTCGTTTTGGATTCCTGGCCAGTAGAAGTGTTGGGTCACACGATGCAACACGACCGACAGTACTGTTTCACGTCGTTTTGGATTCCCGGCCAGTAGAAGTGTTGGGTCACACGATGCAACACGACCGACAGTACTGTCTCACGTCGTTTTGGATTCCTGGCCAGTAGAAGTGTTGGGTCACACGATGCAACACGACCGACAGTACTGTCTCACGTCGTTTTGGATTCCCGGCCAGTAGAAGTGTTGGATCACACGATGCAAGGTCTTGGCTACACCAAGATGACCAGCCATCGCTGTGTCATGTGCAAGATGCAATACCTCGTGTCGATAAGATTTTGGGACTACCAGTTGAGTGAACACAGTCCACGGTTCGTTAGCACAAACATCTGGGGCACGGAACATCTGGGGCACGGAACTTCCGCCACATGACGTCATCCTCGACATAGTAGCAAATTGGCTCCTGATCTTTTTCCTGGACTGTTGCTGCGCTGCAGAGGCGTAGCAATGTGGGGGGGGGGGACATATGTCCCCGGGCGCCGACCTTAGGGGGCGCCAAAATGGGTTGGAAAAAATAATCGAAAGTTTGAGGGGGTGGTAATCAGAAGTTTGAGGGGGGGGGGCGGTGGAAATTGGAAGTTTGAGGGGGGGGGGTGCAAATCGAAAGTTTGAGGGGGGGTGCAAATCGAAAGTTTGAGAGAGGGTGCAAAGCGAAAGTTTGGAGGGGGGTACAAATCGAAAGATTGTCCCCGGGAAGGGTCCCTACGCCTCTGCTGCGTTGTGCCTGATTTCTCCCAGTTCTGGATCCAACTTTTGCTCTTTGGCAAGAGTTGTCTTGTCCAGCTTTCCCAGTGGGCTTGAGGTGTTGAACTGTAACGAGTGGTCTTCATTGAGACGATCAAAGATTCTTCTCTTCTTCTTCATTCTTAATTTTTAGTGTTGGAAGGGATCGAGCCTACCGACTCGACCACGCCTCCAACACAATTAAGGATACGTGTCAACTGGTTATGCGCCATTGAGGCCATTGACTCCAATTTCAGCCTGCCTTTCTTTTTGGATTTGTTTCCATAGCCTTTGTCTAACCAAGAACAAACTACAAGGCAGCAGTTGTTTGATTTAGAAGAGTGGCTGTCCCCAGAGGGTTCGAACTCGAGACTTTTCGGTTTAGCAACCATGAGCTTTACCGACTCGACCACACCGACCCCAGACTGAATCTTGCAGACCGATACAGTCCTCTTGTTTTCTTTTCAACTGGGACCTAGTGACCGCACACAGTGGATCAGCTTGAGGGTTGGAACTCAGAAGTGGAGGCTTAGAATGCACGAGTGCAAGTGAGTTGAAGTGCAAGGGTGCAGGTGGATTGGAGTGCATAGCCGAGGGTGGTGGGGCTATGTCATTTCCTAATCGGAGTTGGATGTTAGGGATAGGTCGAGTCTGATTCATCGCAAGGGTGACCACTCTATGGCCGGTGTGTTGAGCAAGGGAATACCAGGGGACTTCAAGTGAACTGTGTGAAGGGGTGCGCTGTAGGTTACGTCCCCTGTACCTTGTATCATGACAGATTCTCCGGTGTACGATGATGCTGACTTGTATAAACAGTCACACACCTGAGGGCTGCCATTGACAGCCTTACTCTTGCTGATGCAGTTTACCGCCTTGTGTCGCTGGCGCTGCTGACAATCTGTAAAGACATGACCTAGTTGTTTGCCATGGAAACATACCTGGTCAGATTTGACTTGGCCTCTTGGGAAACTTGGCCTTGGACATAAGTGAGGCTTCAGTGGTCGTCAATGTGTGGACTATGGAGTAGTTATCCGCGAGTTCTGCAGCCTTGAAGACTGTGGCGACCTCTCTGTCTTCAAGGTGCAGTTTAAGTTTTAAACTCCTCGAGGATCATCTGTTCCCTGAGATCTTGGGACGTTGCTATCTTCAGTGCTGACAGCCATTTATCAAACAGGTACTCTTTCTCTGCCAGGAACTCCTTGTATGTGGACTCCGGCTTCTTGCTTAAGTCTCGCGATACCTCTCTGGTACCTGTTCATAAGCTGTCAGAACACTGGCCTTCACTAGGTCGTAGTCTTGTTGTACGTCAGTGGGTAGGGACACGAAGACTTTTGCCGCCTTCCCAACAAACGTCAGAACACTGGCCTTCACTAGGTCGTAGTCTTGTTGTACGTCAGTGGGTAGGGACATGTTTGCCACCTTCCCAACAAACGTCAGAACACTGGCCTTCACTCGGTCGTAGTCCAGTTATACGTCAGTGGGTAGGGACACGTTTGCCGCCTTCCCAACAAACGTGGACTGGACAAAGGACGTCCACATTGACTTGGGCCACTCAAAAGCTTTGGCATCGAGTTCAAATCTTTTAAAGAAGAGGTTAAGGTTCTCTTCAGAATAGGTTGGCACGCATCTTTTCATGGCCATCGCGTCGAAGGTTGGAGTGGGCTTCATATCTTTTTGTAGCTTTAACATCTCCAACTTCTTGACTGCTTCATCTTTCTCTCTAGGGGCGATGGCGTTCATCTGCATAGCAAATTCTTTCTCTTTTAGTGTGAGGCACTACTGCCGTTCCCTCCCCCTCTAACTCGAGCTTATGAGCTTCACGAGAGTTTTCCCCTCTCTCGGCGTTCTCCTCAGTGTCCATAATGACCTAAAGACACTACTACAACTAAGCCACTGTACACACTAGCGAGAATAGACCTAACTTGTTGTGTAGACAGCGCGACACGAAAACAGTCTAGTTCAAATCCCGGTCAAGCCCCCAATTATATGTTGTGAACACACGGACACGCCTTTCGGGTGATCCGATGCGTAGCGCAACACATAACACAAACAACCACAAACGGGTTACAAAACAAGACTGAATGAAAACAAAGGCTCGTTGGAACAAAAAGAATTTTATAGTATATACACTATCTACACCTAACACAGTCTATTCTAAACACAAAATACACACGATAGTAAAACTATGATTCAGTGGCTAAAAACTGGTATAAACCTAACCTATACTAAATTTGGACATCTGGACGAAACTGAGACAATCACACACGTTTCCACACACCTTATATTTATATACCCTTTCATAAATTGGTACAAACCCGACTATTACAACCCTCAGTGCGAGAACTGAACAAGGACAAACGGGATAGGGTACAAAGTAACAACATTCACCCCCATTCCAGAGGCGTAGCGACCCTTCTCGGCGCCCGGGGACAAACTTTCGATTTGCACCCCCCTCCCCCAACTTTTCGATTTATTTTTCCAACCCATTTTGGCGCCTCCTAAGGTCGGCGCCCGGGGACATGTGTCCCCCACCCCGCCCCTTCAATACACTGACCAGCAGGATGACCCCATCTAAAACCTTATCATAACCTGCTTATGTTAGTCCCTGATAATTATCTCAAACAAAACCATTGACTTATTGTGTGACTCACCTAACATTGAACTTTTTTAAATATTTAAAGGAAACTTGTGGACCAATTAAATTTGGACTACAATTTACTTAATGAAATTCAAATAAATGTGCAAACAAATGTTTGAATCAATTTATTTTTGAAGATTGAAGCAAAAAGAAACACTAGCAAGCAACAGTTAGGCCGGGCACTTTCGGATATGAAAATTGACTTTGTAATCTGCAGCGGTCCTCTGTACACTGATGATGAAAGGCTCAGACGGGTGGCAGACAAAGGCAACCAGCCTCCTCCCATCTGACCCTCCGGTGTTCAGGCCAAAGCTAACCACTCCCGTATTTCGGGTAAAAAACCTGAAACATACAATCACACAGGACCTTTGTGATTAACTTATCTATAAAGGACCTTTGTGATTAACTTATCTATAAAGGACCTTTGTGATTAACTTAACTATAAAGGACCTTTGTGATTAACTTATCTATAAAGGACTGCGACTTCTGTGTTTATTAAGCAACATATACCAGGCACTGCCTGGGTTTTGTTAATATATTAAATTTCTAATTAACGTCTATATGCAAATTACAACATTTGAGAAAATATATATAACCCTCAACCTAATACTTAACCTAACCCTAACCCTAATAGTTAACCTAACCCTTGACACAAACAAAAATCACAACCACAAACACACAAAAAACTTAAATCTCTCCCATGCTTGCACCAGACGTCTAAATATAAGGATACTTTATTGCATTCACGCACTGTACAAATGCAAAATATAATGGTGGAAATGTGTTCGTCTATATGGCCTATACAAATATTTGAAAAATTTAAATCAATTTTGAATGAATTTTTAAGTGAATTTAGCCAGAAAGTGCGAAATAAAATTCCCAGTGTTAAAATGCACCAGTATACCAACCAAAAAGAAACACGATCAGTTCGCCAGTAGAGTACATACTTTGATTTATATATATATGTATATATATATATATATATATATATATATATATATATATATATATATATATATATATATATATATATATATGAATGACAGTGTGTTTGTGGTTTTGACCTTTAAAAATTACTACATCATTCATCCGATTGCCATGAAACTTTGGGCAGTTGATCAGAATACTCCGCACAGGGTTTATGCACACACACAAAATTTTGAGTTTGGTCCCCAATAAGTCAAACCGGCCACAGCATAAAAAATATTATTGAATTTTTTAGAGGAATTAACCTGGCATACATTATTAACTTGGTTGTCACCCTTTGTCCATAAAAATTCTATTACAAAAACTGAGATGGGCACACTGTTCTAAAAATAATGACTAGTAATACTCTAAGTATATATCTCCAGTTTCATCAGTAAATTTACATTTCTAAAAATGACTATTGGTAATCTATCTATGGATCTAAAAATGAAAGTATGTCTGTCTGTGTATGTTTGTCTTTTATGCATTATCCAGTCTTGGGAAGTTTTTGAAAATACTTCTTGGCAGGTTTCTGAGGGAAAAAAATAATTTCAAAGTGGCGGTGCAATTAGGCACCCCGTGATTACCCACAAGCTCTATTGTGCAGCCATTTATTTTAAACAGCACAATACAATAGCAACATGATATGCCATGATATTGCAGAATCAAGGCCGTACACAGCGCACCTGAGTTAGTGTAACCAGTGCCCCCCCCCCCCCCCACAGCACCCCACGACGCCCCTGACTACATGGGCGTCGCTGAAGGGTGTCTACCTCACTGATACTGAGGGTGACTCAAGACTTTCATACAGCAGGTATTGGGGCATCTGGCTGCTAGAGTGGACAAACCAGCACCATAATAACTCAGATCCAAGAAATATAGTGCCTGCCTTGTTTACATTTAAATAACTCAGATCCAAGAAATATAGTGCCTGCCTTGTTTACATTTAAATAACTCAGATCCAAGAAATATAGTGCCTGCCTTGTTTACATTTAAATAACTTAGATCCAAGAAATATAGTGCCTGCCTTCTTTACATTTAAATAACTCAGTTTTAGAAAACAAGGTCACCCTTCTAAAAATACATAATACTCTTGAAAAGACTATGTAATCATACTACATTTTTGAATTATTTTATTAATTCTACTATTTTAAAATACCGTCCTCAACCTATCCTTGAAGACAACCAGAATAGCCAGGGAGAGTAAAACAAAAGTCACGACAATTGTTTTCCATAATAAAATACACAATAGCGGTCAATGGGGTATAGCTTGGTAGTGTATTAACATTATAAGTACTCTTACTCTACTCATTCAAATTCAAAATAAAAGTTTTTGCAAAATTACTTTTATATTACTAGCAATTATTTGTTTGAATATTTCTAGCCTTAATAAAACCCGAAGTCATTTTGTACTTTTTACACATAGTAATAAAATATTCATTTTTGTGTGAAAACTATCCTCTCTGGCAACAAACATTTGGAACCAGCTTTTAAAGCGTATTAGTAATGCAAAGATTGAACTTTACACACCTCAATTTTTATTCCTAATAGAAACAGTACATCAGACTACAGGTCGAAACGCCACACCAACACACTTAAAGCCCACACCAACACACTTAAACCCCACACCAACACACTTAAACCCCACACCAACACACTTAAACCCAACACCAACACACTCCCACACCAACACACTTAAACCCCACACCAACACACTTAAACCCCACACCAACACACTTAAACCCCACACCAACACACTTAAACCCCACACCAACACACTTAAACCCCACACCAACACACTCCCACACCAACACACTTGAACCCCACACCAACACACTTAAACCCCACACCAACACACTTAAACCCTACACCAACTCACTTAAACCCCACACCAACACACTTAAACCCCACACCAACACACTTAAACCCCACACCAACACACTTAAACCCCACACCAACACACTTAAACCCCACACCAACACACTTAAACCCCACACCAACACACTTAAACCCCACACCAACACACTCCCACACCAACACACTTAAACCCCACACCAACACACTTAAACCCCACACCAACACACTTAAACCCCACACCAACACACTTAAACCCCACACCAACACACTTAAACCCCACACCAACACACTCCCACACCAACACACTTAAAGCCCACACCAACACACTTAAACCCCACACCAACACACTCCCACACCAACACACTTAAACCCCACACCAACACACTCCCACACCAACACACTTAAAGCCCACACCAACACACTTAAACCCCACACCAACACACTTAAACCCCACAGCAACACACTTAAAGCCCACACCAACACACTTAAACCCCACACCAACACACTTAAACCCCACAGCAACACACTTAAACCCCACACCAACACACTTAAACCCCACACCAACACACTAAAACCCCACACCAACACACTTAAACCCCACACCAACACACTCCCACACCAACACACTTAAACCCCACACCAACACACTTAAAGCCCACACCAACACACTTAAACCCCACACCAACACACTTAAACCCCACACCAACACACTTGAACCCCACACCAACACACTCCCACACCAACACACTTAAACCCCACACCAACACACTTAAAGCCCACACCAACACACTCCCACACCAACACACTTAAACCCCACACCAACACACTTAAACCCCACACCAACACACTTAAACCCCACACCAACACACTTAAACCCCACACCAACACACTCCCACACCAACACACTTAAACCCCACACCAACACACTCCCACACCAACACACTTAAAGCCCACACCAACACACTTAAAGCCCACACCAACACACTTAAACCCCACACCAACACACTTAAACCCCACACCAACACACTTAAACCCCACACCAACACACTCCCACACCAACACACTTAAACCCCACACCAACACACTTAAACCCCACACCAACACACTTAAACCCCACACCAACACACTCCCACACCAACACACTTAAACCCCACACCAACACACTTAAACCCCACACCAACACACTTAAACCCCACACCAACACACTTAAACCCCACACCAACACACTTAAACCCCACACCAACACACTTAAACCCCACACCAACACACTTAAACCCCACACCAACACACTTAAACCCCACACCAACACACTTAAACCCCACACCAACACACTCCCACACCAACACACTTAAACCCCACACCAACACACTCCCACACCAACACACTTAAACCCCACACCAACACACTTAAAGCCCACACCAACACACTCCCACACCAACACACTTAAACCCCACACCAACACACTTAAACCCCACACCAACACACTTAAACCCCACACCAACACACTCCCACACCAACACACTTAAACCCCACACCAACACACTTAAACCCCACACCAACACACTCCCACACCAACACACTTAAACCCCACACCAACACACTTAAACCCCACACCAACACACTCCCACACCAACACACTCCCACACCAACACACTTAAACCCCACACCAACACACTTAAACCCCACACCAACACACTTAAACCCCACACCAACACACTCCCACACCAACACACTTAAAGCCCACACCAACACACTTAAACCCCACACCAACACACTTAAAGCCCACACCAACACACTTAAAGCCCACACCAACACACTTAAACCCCACACCAACACACTCCCACACCAACACACTTAAACCCCACACCAACACACTTAAACCCCACACCAACACACTTAAACCCCACACCAACAGAACTAAAGGCGAGTAATACACCTGCTAACCTTATGGGGTGATCTCCAGATGTTTTTGGCCTCTCTAACTGGGAGATCCACTTGTCATCATAGCTAAACAAGCTATAGTCTAAGTAAGGGGAGCAACTGTACGACTGTGCGCTAATGGGCAGCTGTGTTAACAAACGTGAGATTGCCTCCCTTTTGCCACCATTTTTGGCAACAATGAGTGTCCATTTAAACATGTGCTGAATTCTTCTAGCATGAACAGAAGAGGAGGGAGAGGATGGAAATTGGGGGAATAGATGAGGCCAAGAGTTGCGAAAATGATCTTGAAAATTTTCCATTATTTCTAGAAGCTCAGGTGAGGTATGTTCATACACACCCAGAATCTGTGGAATTAGAGAAAATATATTCCTACTTCAATCTTCTTAGATTTGTGGAATCGGAGAAAATATATTCTGTATGCTTTTTCTTGGAATTTTTTTACTTCTTATTTCATTTGAAAAGTCCATGGATTCAAATTACATCTTTTTGGGCTAAATAATTGAGTATAAGGCTAAATTTACCCAAAACATCATTTGGAAAATGTGTTTGGTGCAAGCTACTGACAGAGTGTACAATACATTAGCACCCAGTGTGTATAATATTGCTTCCCCAGAACCAGATTGTTTTAAACCTAACTTTAAAAAATGGTAATAACCATGCATTTAAAGGTTTTTTCCATAATATATTTCTATAATACACTTTGTGAAATCCAAGTGTTGAGCAATGAGAGCTACCGACATTGGGACATAATGCCATAGTGAGCATAAAGATGGTTACATTGGGACATAATGCCATAGTCAGCATAAAGATGGTTACATTGGGACATAATGCCATAGTCAGCATAAAGATGGTTACATTGGGACATAATGCCATAGTGAGCATAAAGATGGTTACATTGGGACATAATGCCATAGTCAGCATAAAGATGGTTACATTGGGACATAATGCCATAGTGAGCATAAAGATGGTTACAATACATTTCTACTATACAAGCCAAAATTTCTGAGAGACAATACATTTCTACTATACAAGCCAAAATTTCTGAGAGACAATACATTTCTACTATACAAGCCAAAATTTCTGAGAGACAATACATTTCTACTATACAAGCCAAAATTTCTGAGAGACAATACATTTCTACTATACAAGCCAAAATTTCTGAGAGACAATACATTTCTACTATACAAGCCAAAATTTCTGAGAGACAATACATTTCTACTATACAAGCCAAAATTTCTGAGAGACAATACATTTCTACTATACAAGCCAAAATTTCTGAGAGACAATACATTTCTACTATACAAGCCAAAATTTCTGAGAGACAATACATTTCTACTATACAAGCCAAAATTTCTGAGAGACAATACATTTCTACTATACAAGCCAAAATTTCTGAGAGACAATACATTTCTACTATACAAGCCAAAATTTCTGAGAGACAATACATTTCTACTATACAAGCCAAAATTTCTGAGAGACAATACATTTCTACTATACAAGCCAAAATTTCTGAGAGACAATACATTTCTACTATACAAGCCAAAATTTCTGAGAGACAATACATTTCTACTATACAAGCCAAAATTTCTGAGAGACAATACATTTCTACTATACAAGCCAAAATTTCTGAGAGACAATACATTTCTACTATACAAGCCAAAATTTCTGAGAGACAATACATTTCTACTATACAAGCCAAAATTTCTGAGAGACAATACATTTCTACTATACAAGCCAAACTGTGGTGAATTGAAGCAACTTACCTCTGTTGTACGCATGTTATAGACAACAAAAAGCGAGGGCATATTGTAAGGGTCACCGTTGCGATACGTCACAACTTCTTCAATGGCATATTTGATGAGCAGATGATCCTCATCAAGGAGTTGTAATTTTCCCATTCTTAAATTGATGATGTCATCCATTGCCCAGTAAAATGATCGGATGCCTCCATCTAGATGACCATTCTTTGCTGCCTTGTAGAGATAAACAAGGAGCCTGTGCTTCAAGGAGTTAATAGACTGAAGAAAAAAACAAAGCAATAAATGACATTCTGTATCAGTTCTACAAGGTTATGTGTGGTGGTACTTTTAAATGTTCAATAGTTACCAATCAGGGATGTGAGCAGATCATGAAAAAAAAATAGGAAATTTTTTCAGACAAGAACTCAATGTTTTATCTATTTTTGAATGCAGTTAAAGCAGCCTCACCCATTACTGGTTACTGTGACTAATTAATAGTCTAATAATGCTAATAATTTAAATAAAAGAGATTTATTTTACTCTAAAATAACACAGAAACTCTTGTCTAATTGCAATTTAATGTTTAATTTAACAAAGGTGGCAATCAACTTTTATTTAAAGATTAAAAAGCTTATTCTAACAGTAATGATCTAGTTGTACTCTTGTTTTCAATTTTAAGTAATGCCTTATAGGTTAAATTCTTTGAAAGATGGGCATGGTAAAAATGTTAAGAGCCTAAATTTAGATTAATTGTAATTTGCAAGTTTGAGTTCATTTGATGGAAAATGAAATCGCCCAGATTGGCTGAAAAGGTATGATATTTATTGTTTAGTGCTTTGGAATTAATACTCGTAAATATATTTGAACCAAAATTAATTATCTTGATATAGCCAGGCCCCATCGATATTTTTTCTTTTGGAATAGCTGTAGATTGTTAGGCTTCATCCCTAAATTACTTTGCGTATTTTTTAACGATTTTCACCACCCATCCTTCACAAAAAGCCAGACTACCCCTTCAAATGATGTCACACCTAAGTCAATACTCCCCCCTTCCCCCCCCCCGTCCTTCTGACTGACATTTGAATTATTATTTTTGTACATTTTTTTTTTAAAAATATTTTTCTAAAATATTGACTGAGCTCAACCAACATAGGATTTTTTAATCAATTTCTATTACCATTTATTACATTTTTTTTTTTAAAAAACACAAAATAATAGCTTCTAATTCAGTTTCTAACATTACGTTTTAAAATGCAATAGTATGATGGCACATTATCTGAGCCCTACTCCCTCTCATCACACATACGTTACAAAATTATGCCCCCCTCCTCCCCAACGCGTGTGATGTCAAGTATGTACGACCCCTTATTAAAGCAGTCCGTATTGTATTTTACCTCCACAAACAAGACATAGTTGGAGTCACGTTGAGTTCACATTCATTTTGAAATCTGTAGGCCTAAAGCATAGGTCATAGCAGGAACATAGCTATTTGAGATTGACTGAGACGTTATTTTTATTTTTTCCCAAACAAGCTGTGCCAAACTATTTGAGATTGACTGAGACGTTATTTTTATTTTTTCCCAAACAAGCTGTGCCAAACGAGTACTTGGGGTCATGGTGAGGTCATAAAAGCCATCTTTACTACAAGGAGGGCGGGTTAGTCTAGTCCTCATAGTCACTATTTGCAAGGATATTAAATTGAGATTGCCAAAATATATAAAACAGAATTAGAAACAAAGAAAAATGGTAGGTTTGGGCGCGTTAAATACAGGTGGATTGATTACGCTATGGCTAGAATACCCCACAAGAAAGATTTACAGTTAAGAAACCAGGCTTAGGAGATGTAAGTTTCATTTGAAGAGCTGCATTATTTTAGATAACTGTTTTCCGTGTTTTTGATGAGTATTTAACTGAAAATGTCAGCGGAAAATTCGAACAAAAAAATTGTGTTCTGAAAAATTTCGGAAATCCGCCGAAAAAACTGAATCTTAATTTAGCTCTGTCAGACTTAGCACAACGTCCAAATGAAAAGAAATGTTCATATTCAAGTGTCTGTTTGACCTAAGTTCTGTAATACTCAATTTAAATAGTAATATGTGGAATACGTGTGTGGGCTGTTTCCAAAGAAGTCATTTCAGTTTTTTCCTGGAATTTTTAATAGTTCCTACAAAATTGATAAAAATAAAAAATCAGTGGAAAAATTAGGCGAAAATGAAATCTGCTGAAGAAAATTGCAGTTGAAATGGAAAAATTGGATTTCCGCTAAAAATCTGGAACAGTCACATCCCTGACCTATACATTTAATACATGTTAGTACACACTCCAATGAAAAATCATGTTAGTATGTTCCCACTACCTGTAACTCTACTTAAAAAATCATGTTAGTATGTTCCCACTCCCTGTAACTCTACTTAAAAAATCATGTTAGTATGTTCCCACTCCCTGTAACTCTACTTAAATTGTTCTGTAATAGTAACTGTTAGAAAAACCTAACTATTTAAGAAATTATAAAAACTATTTTTAATTATAATGGTAATAAAGTGGTTAAAAAACAAATAGTGTGGTCAGCACTAATAGTGTGGTCAGCACAATGCCCAGCTTCCTTTACTTCCCCAAACATAAGTCATGTAACCATCAGCACTTGGTGGATATCCTACAGTAAAAAATCTGAACCAAACTCAAGACCTTTGGGCTAGAAGCCTAAGGCTCTTCCAGTCGACAAAGCTATCCTAAAATCACACTAACACAATGCAAATAAAGCAGTTTGTCTGGATACTACAGAGATTTGTCCACATGTAACATGTTTAATACATGCTTCATTATACCTTGTCAGTGTAAGATCTCTACCCTAACCCTAACCTTGTCAGTGTAAGATCTATACCCTAACCCTAACCTTGTCAGTGTAAGATCACTACCCTAACCCTAACCTTGTCAGTGTAAGATCTATACCCTAACCCTAACCCTAACCTTGTCAGTGTAAGGCCTGCTGTGCACTGGTTGTTGACTCGTCTGATGATAAAAGATGTCATCATCATCATAACAGAACCTGCCAATGGTACGGATGTGAACTAACGAGCCTTGGGCTGAGATGTGGAAGACGTGAATGACTTGCTGCTGGACAGAGAGAACGGTCAGGACATGGCCATACAAACAAATGCCTTGATTATGAGATAAGTAAATCTTGTCCAGACGGAACCTCCTGCGATCACAAACAATACCTGAAAAATATATTTTTATTTTTATCTAGCCTGCTAATGCCAAGCAATGGCACACAGTTAGTCAGTACATTGACAGATTTTCACTGACCTGACTAGCTCTTCAACATAAATAGATCTTTTACTGACTTAAGCTCTTCAACATAAATAGATCTTTTACTGACTTTAACTCTACTACATAAATAGATTTGAGCTGACCTGACTTAAGCTCTACAACATAAATAGATTTGAACTGACCTGACTTAAGCTCTACAACATAAATAGATTTGAACTGACCTGACTTAAGCTCTACAACATAAATAGATTTGAACTGACCTGACTTAAGCTCTACAACATAAATAGATTTGAACTGACCTGACTTAAGTTCTACAACATAAATAGATTTGAGCTGACCTGACTTAAGCTCTACAACATAAATGGTGTAGTCTTCAGGAATGAGCCTGTAGTTGGGAGTGATGCACTCATTGTTTCTATAGACATCAAAAAATCTGGCACTGGTTTCCTCAGGCAACTGGTGACATGAGCCTACAATGACAAACTGACTGTCCTCTGTAAACAAGCTGCATTCTCTGTTGAGAATTTCTTCACCTGCTGTCACTCTCACCACATGGCGTTTGGAAAGAAATTGAGAAAATATTTGGCTTCGAATATCACCACTTTCATCCTGGCAACTCTCTGCTCCTGGAATAACCTCCCCTTCTATGTCTTTGATAAGATTTCCAGCAGCTTCACTCCCTTTAAATGCATAAATTTCCAGGCAAGTCTGATCATAGGAGATGGCAAGAAAATATCTGAGGAAAGGCAAGTCTGATCATAGGAGATGGCAAGAAAATATCTGAGGAAAGGCAAGTCTGATCATAGGAGATAACAAGAAAATATCTGAGGAAAGGCAAGTCATAAACTAATTGTAATAGTATACACGTCCTGCCATAATAAAAATCAAATCAATGTTAGATCTGGCTATTGGATTACCTGCCATTGGGAGAAAATTTGCGCAGGTAACAGGGTGGTTTTTCCACATTAAGTGTGCTGACATTTGGAACTATATGTAAGTAGAACTTGCGAGCTTCAACAAAACAAGTTCCTCTTTTAGAGTTAAAGATCTCTCGCCTAACCAAACGATGGAAAATATTTTGAGAAATCATTTTTCTCCATTTTATCGGAGAGTCAGCTTTTGGATCTTCCATGCAGTTTTAAAAGAAGTTCAGCTGGAAAATAATGATTGTTGTCAGATGCTTATTAAGATATTTTTAGATATGTTACATTTTGCTACCAAAATTCCTACTTGACATGCCAATAACTGAAATATGTGAAATAATCCCATTCTGGAGGTTTTAGAGATGGAGTAAGGTTGAAGTATTGATATAGGCTGTGGGAAACAGATCAAAAGTTGCTCAAAACTTATATATAGGATTTAATACACTTGCATGAAATTTCAACCATCGAACTTAAATGGCACTCAAATTATTGAGTTTCTTACTCAAAGCTAGACAAATGATTATTAATGCAATTTTACACTTCATTTTTATTTATGAAGGCTAAAAAATTAAAACTACATTCAAGTACCTCCACTATGATACCAATTATCAAAATGAACAACCTTCCCACACAAGAACCAATGCCAGTAGGGATTTAAAGTAGTATGTTGGGCAGATGTCTAAACACTTCCCAAGCATTAAGTTAATGTCTGTAGAGCAAACTCTAAGCATGATGGGCCTGGAAGGAGAATCTATTGTCCACTCTCCTGCTGTTCATCTGTGATTGACACAAGACGGATGTTCCGGAATCCACCAGAAGTACTGTAAACCATACTTTCTTGGTGCCATATTTTTTGTTTGGTACAGAACATTTTATTGCATGTTAAACACTGTTTTACTCATTATTTTGTATTGCTAATTATGTTAAATTGTTCCTGGATAATTATTGCTGCTACTAAACATTGTTCTAGTCATTTTTTACTATTTTCATAATTATTTTTGATTATATCTTTATATAGTAATATCTAGGCCTAGATCTCGTGGATCTGACTGAGAATAGTCTCCAAGAGAGGCCCATAAAATATTTTTTAAAATCATGGACAGTGTCATTAAAATTACTATGGTTATAAAAATCTGTATGTTGCATTTTTTAAGACTTTAAAAAGAGTAGATGTATTTGACGTTTTAGTATTTTCTGTAATTTAACACTATTTTTTTTAAAAGAAAGTCATTTGGTTTTTACGTGGTAAAGGAAACATTAATGAAGACATCTTGCTATTCGACAGACTAGCATAAATTTTATTATACAAAATGTAAACAAAATAGCAGAACTAGGTCATCTGGTTTAAAATAGCATTATGTTATTTAAAAACTTTATCTGCAAAGTTTTGTAAACAAATAACTATTGATCATGGAGTTCCTGTACAGCCAATCAATGTTTGTCTTATGAAAGTTAAACATCCAGTTATAACTTAGGCTTGATGAAAATAAATTGAAATGTAGCCTTAAAATTACACTAAAAAATTATTTTCAAGTTCTCTAGATTTGCAACTTTTATAACATTGATAAAAATATTAAATTTTTGAATTATTATAATAGGGCCTATAAGCTTAAGTTTTTAATTTTTTACTATTTTTACGGCGGCTATGAAGTCAAAATTTTAAAAACATATGAATTTTATTATTTTATCCATGTCAACAATATGATAGTAGTAGGATTCTCGTCAACTCTGTTGCCTCCATTAATTGTCGTAAATCTTTCGCAAGTTTTTATTTCATTTTTTAACATTAAACTAATTATTAAACTGGGCTTTATTATTTATATTTAGGCCTAGAATGGCCTAGATCTACTAATTCAAATCTACTGTACTATTATAAACTAGGACTATTTTTTTTCCTAATCATATGTCAATTAAAGATAAAATCAAGTTAAAAACATTAATTTTAAAATTTAGTAGGGCTAATAGATCTAGTAGGGCCTTCAGTCGACTTTATTAAAAATGTAATAGGTAGTTTGAATTATGGATTTTTTAAATTAAAATATTCTGTTATTTCAAATACTAAATACACTATTAAGTTACAAGTTCATAACCCCTTAAGAGAACATTTGACACCACATTTAAATATCTAGCCTAGCTTACTCAGTGGCCGAGAAAAGAGAGAATTTTAAGATTATCCTAGAATGGAAAATGAGGTAAAACCTTAGTTTAGCGTCGGTTATTATTCCGGAATCGTATAGCAGTAAAAAAACAGTAAAACAATGCCAAAGTCTGTCACACACTTCCGGAATTCACCGGAAGTACTGTAAACCATACTTTATTTGGCGTCATCTTTTATTTTTATACAGAATGTTTAAAATTTGGATAATTTATTTTTGTAATCATTTTTACATTTTGTAATCATTTTTACTATTTTTGTAATCTAGATTTTTTTACTTGGCCTAGCAGCTAGATATCTAGCTAGATCTAGATCTAATTAATTAATGGTCGCAAATCCGCTGCAAGCCAAAAACATTAAATTATTACATTCGTCATTTGACTTCATTATTTATATTAATATGTTTTATATTTTTTTATTTTTAGATCTACTAATTTAAATCTATTGTCGATTAAACTTAAAAAAAAAAAACATTAATTTACTACAATCGACTTTCAATTTATTTATATTTCAATGGTCAAATAAACCATGGTTTACCGTAACTCTATTTACCGAAACTCAACAAACATTACCTGATAATTTCCGACGCTAAAATAAGGTTTTACCGAAAATGAAAGCCAAAACAAGCACTGAAGTAGATTCTAGGGTAATCCCTTAGTTTAGCGTCGGTTATTATTCCGGAATCGTATAGCAGTAAAAAACAGTAAAACAATGCCAAAGTCTGTCACACACTTCCGGAATTCACCGGAAGTACTGTAAACCATACTTTATTTGGTGTCATCTTTTATTTTTATACAGAATGTTTAAAATTTAGATAGATTTATTTTTGTAATCATTTTTACATTTTGTAATCATTTTTACTATTTTCGTAATCTAGATTTTTTTACTTGGCCTAGCAGCTAGATATCTAGCTAGATCTAGATCTAATTAATTAATGGTAGCAAATCCGCTGCAAGCAAAAAACATTAAATTATTAGCCTACATCTTCATTATTTATATTTATATTAATATATGTTTTTTTTTATTTTTAGATATACTAATTTAAATCTACTATTATATTTATTTTTGTTTCCTTTTGTCGATTAAACTTAAAAAATTAAAACATTAATTTACTACAATCGACTTTCAATTTATTTATATTCCAATGGTCAAATAAACCATGGTTTACCGTAACTCTAGTTACCGAGACTCAACAAACATTACCCGATAATTTCCGACGCTAAACTAAGGGATTACCGATTCTAGTACTAGTACTCACTGCATCAGTGTGTTACACTGTGTAGAATGTAACTCACACTGTTATGACTGTAAGGCTGTAGTCTACTGTTAACTAGTGACTTGTCTAGTGTTAGTGTACTGTAAACTGTAAGACTGTAGATCTAGTAAGTGTTCTACTAGTGTGTAGACTAGCCGTGTAACTTTAAGTCTTTAAGTAAACTGTACTGTAAGAGTATATAAACCAGTGTTGTAAGGTGACTGTACTGTAGACACTGTTGTTACGTGTTGTAGAGTGTAATAACTACTAATAACACTGTATTACACTCAGTGTAACTGTAAGTCAGTGTAGTGTAAGTGTAGTAGATCTAGAATCTAGTACTTGACTTGTAAGTACAAAGTAGTGTAGTGTATGCGTAGCCGGTAGCCTAACTTAATACTTATTACTTATTATTAATAATAGTAATAGGCCTAATAAATTATTATTAATATTATTAATAATAATGGTCGGTGTCAGCAGATCTAGATCTAGAAATCTAGATCTATATCCGTAGATCTATATCGTATGTAATTAATAAGAGTAGGGCCTATTCAGGTTGCTTATCCATTCCTAGATTTAGGCCTATAGATTATTATTATAGATTCTTGTTTTATTTCGCTATAATTTGCTAGACATTTTGTTCCTGAAACTTTAGATTCTAAATCGATTCTATTTCAAAATTAATTTCTAGTAGCTTCCCTTTCGGGGTAGTTCATTTAATCAATCATTTTGATTTTGGTAATCAGTCGTTTTAGGTGCGTAAAATCGAACGTAATGTGCGAAAAAGTTGCGTCATTGTTAATGCTTTACTTTAATAGAAGTATATTTTGATATATTTGTGTCAAATATTATAGATAACTGAATAATAAACCAAAATCAATGGCTAAATAAATATATCAATATAGGCCAGAAATTAACTTTAACCCTTTGAGGACCAAGGGACACATGTGTCCCAAATTTTTAAATTATCGCCAAACGAAATTGGAATAACATAGAGTTGTTAAATTTGCTTTAAAACAATTATTACATGATAGACTTAATCTAAATAAGGCTGTTTTCAGTAAGATTTATGAGATAGTTTTGTTGTCATATTGATGAAAACTTTCCACTTTTAGACCATCCGCAAAGCTACAGTTTACATTTTTATATATATAAAAAAAAACTAAGTGTAACAGAGAGAAATAACTAGTGTTTTTTTAAAGGTCTAATATTGAAGCATTTTATTTACATTTTTTTTCCTAATAGTTTTGCTTGTTTTTTTTAAAAGAGTAATTTGTTGCAGAGGCGTAGCGAGGGCGGGGCGGGGGGGGGGGGGGGGGGTGCGGAACGCACTGGGTGACAACATTTAGGGGGGTGACACCAAGGCAAGAAATTGCAAAATGTACAAAATCAAACTGTATTATTAACAGACTATAGATACAATCATTACTATTAAGTCTGCAGTGATTAAAGCTTATACACATACATGTACGCGTATGCGGGGCATATATTTAAATTAAGGCCTACTTAGGCCGACACACACACAGACCTATATGTATATGTATGTCTTTTCTTCTTCTTCTTCTTCTTCGTTCTTAATTATTAGTGTTGAAGGGGATCGAGATTTATCTGCCAGTGGGTTTGAACTCGAGACTTAGTTCGAATTTATCAACCATGAGCTTTTCGCCGACTCGACCACGCCTCCAACACAATTAAGCGTTACGTGTCTACTGGTTATGCGCCGTTTGACTCCGATTTCAGCCTGCTTTTCTTTTTTGGATTTGCTTCCATAGCCTTTGTCCAACCAAGAACAAACTACAAGGCAGCAGTTATTTAATTTTGGAGCTGTCCCTAGCTAACGAGCCTCATCTGCCCGAGGGTTCGAACTCGTGGCAGATTGGTTTAGCAACCATGAGCTTTACCGACTCGACCACGCCGACCCCTATATGTATGTATATATATATATATATATATATATATATATATATATATATATATACATATATATATATATACATATATATATATATATATATACATATATATATATATATATATATATATATATATATATATATATATATATATATATATATATATATATATATATATATATATATATATATATATATATAAAATTCTCTTCTGGGATCAGTTAGAAAACAGGCTGCAAGCGCGGCTTTGCAGTCCCCTCTCTTCCTCTCTATCACTATTACTACCACCCCCACCCCACCCCCACATGATCTGGTGAGCGGTGTTCACTCTGTTTACATTTTACAATCACAGAGACGGGTTTGGTGACGGCTATTAGGGGCAGATAATTTAGTTTGAAACGATTTTAAACTTAGAGGAGGTAACTAAGAGGAGGTTGCTTTCACGTGGGGGGTAGTGTTTTTAAGCAAATATTTTCAATGGCAGCATTGGTACTGTCGAAGAATTCACAAATTATAAATTACTGAAAAGTAGAAAAAAAAAACAACTAAATAGCGGCGTATGATACGCAGCGGGTCGGCTCGTATATATATAATTCTCTTCTGGGAGCCGTTAGAAAACAAGCTGCAAGCGCCTCCTTGCAGTCCCCTCTCTTTCTCTCTATCACTACCACCCCCACCCCACCCCAACATTGTCTGGTGAGCGGTGTTCACTCTAAATGTTTACAAAGCTAAATGTTTACAAATCGTAGAGCAGTACAGCCGGGTTTCTATTAGGGGCAGATAATTTAGTTCGATTTTAAACTTACAGGAGGTAACTAAGAAATAACTAAGAGGAGGCTGCTTTCACGGGGGGGGGGGGGGGGGGTGTAGGGTCGGGGTTAGGGGAAAGGGGGGAGGGTAGTGTTTTAAAGCAAATATTTTCAGTGGCAGCATTGGTACTGTCGAATTTACAAATTATGAATTACTGAAAAGTAGAAAATAAAACAACTAAATAGCGGTGTATGATACGCTGCGGGTCGGCTCGTATATATATAATTTGTTTCTTGGGGAGGGGGTGACACCAAGCAGTGCTAAACCGGGTGACACCCGACCTAGCGACGCCACTGATTTGTTGTGCTTGGGACATATATGTCCCTATGGTTCAAAAGGGAGCTAACTTTTTTTTACAATGTCGCTAAGCATGAGTTTTGGCAGTAGAATACACATAGTTGCAGAGCTTTTATTTACCATCACTGAACAAAATACTGAGCAAATACTGTTTATAGACAATAATGACGATGAAAACAACTTGCTTTTTAGCGCAATTTCCATTCTGGAGAATTGCGTTTATTAACCCGTCATTTCTGGATGGATGGATGGATGGATGGATGAATGTGTGTCCGCAGCTTTAAGTCGTATCTCCTCCTCAACGAAGCAATATCGATGACTAGTTCCAAAAGCAATTATGTTAAGCAAGTTACGAGGATGAACATAGGCCATAAAAATTCCGGGTTTCTTTCATGGATTTCCCAGAAAAGCCAAAAAATCTAGAAAAAAAAAGCAGTTTTTGGCCCATATCTCGGCAACCAGACCACTTAGCGACTTGAAACATGTACCAATCGATTCCTGTCATAATTTAGAACAATATTGCCGAAGAAAGTTTTCAAAAATATTCTCTCGTTCGGTCACAAATTTTAAAATTACATAAACACCTACAAACCGATTGTTCTTCTAGCTTGAACGCACCCCAACATTATACATCAGAGCTATTTTTAGATAACATAAGGAAATTGCGCACAAATGTCACTAGACTTTTTTAATTAACTTGTTTATGAGAAAGATGTGAATTTTATGTAGAAAAATGTCGACAAAGTAAGTGTAGAAGATATAATTGAATGACTTGTTCAAGTCTCAGAACAGATTGTCACCACAGTGATAAGGCCTACACCATTCTAGTCATTCTTTTTTCCATACATTGCATACATCGTCAATCTCACATGTATTAGAGACTAATATTCCCTCTAATCTGCATGGTCGTGCGACCGATCAATATTTTTAAACATGCCGCGCTGTTACTTCGTAAAATACATGTAATCTTGTATATGACTTATAGAACACCGAGCACAAAAAAATATACGATGCACGCTAGATTTTTTCCCCTCAGAGGGAGGGTTAATAGAGGGTTAATAGTGACAATTACCTCTCGGACATACCCCCCCCCCCTCGATATTTACACCTCGAAGCAACTACCCAATGTCTAGGATTAGGGTTAGGTTAAGGCTAATGTTAGGATTAAATCTTGGTTTAGAGTTGAGTTTAGGATTTGATGTTAGGGCTAGTTATAGGGTTGGGGTTAGTGGCAGGGTTCTTTAGCATCAGGAGGGGGTGGGGGGTATTTGACGGGGAGGGGAGGGGTAATGTCCTAGACCCGAAGCTGACACTTAACAGTATCATCAATAGAACATGACTTGCCCAACGAACAATCAAACGTCCTCGTTAGATTTGAAAAAGGAGACTGGAGCAAGATATTGTTTTCAACTAGAGGCTTCTGAAAACACACTTTCAAATACAAGTTATTGACTATGGTTATGGGGAATTTACAAAAGATGTTGATTGTAATGAAGATCCCAATGTTATTTGGCATTTTGGCAAATAAAATCCTTGTAATTTAAAGTGTTTGGTAGCTCTGATTATTGATAATTGTAAACAGTAAGTGATTCCTTTTCAAACTCATTTGCAAGACATCTGTAGATTTTTTAGAATGAAACTTGTGATGGGATACCATGTACTTCTAACCTTGAAGACTACAAGTCCACGGAACCTGATCTCCATGTTTCATATGTTGCTAATGTTATGCCAAGATTTAGATTTGAAGAAAAAAGGGCATTTAGGGGTCATCTATAAATGACGTCACGCTTTTTTGACGATTTTTACCTCCCCCTCCCCTCCGTCACACATCGTCACAAAAAGCCAGACGACCCCCCCCCCACCCGCTAAAATGACGTCACACTTCAGCCTACAACCCCCCCCCCCCCTCAAAATTGCAATTGAATTTATTTTTTTCAAACATCGATATTTTTCCAAAATCTTGTCTGAACTCTGCCAAAATAGCGTATTTTTTATCAATTCCTATTACATTTTATTAAAATAGTTTTCTAAAACGCGAAATAACGTCTAAAATTCGTTTTCTAACATTGCTTTTTACTTTCTCGTATATACGAAGTATAGAGAAAGTATTGTAATCGTGCAAAAAAAAAAATCGAGATTTTTACAAATCTCGACGTTTTACACCTCACTGATACGGAAAAACATAATTTTGCAATCTTGTCCGTATGCCTGTGTGTCTGTGTCTGTATCTAGCAATTTTGTCTGTGTTTATAATTAAACATGCTAACTTGTGTCCTGTTTCAGTTATGTTGATGGAATTTAATATGAAGTATTATATCAAATTTGTAGATCTGTATAAACTTTACCAGCGATTTCCTGTCAACAGGAAGTGGTACATACTCTCCTTTCTCAAAGCCAATTACTAGAGTCGGTTAAGTTAGGTAGATGGAATTTCATATATATATATATTGTATGTGCAATATTTTAACATCTTTAAAGAAATTACACATTTATTGTAAACACAATTTTTTTCTACATAAGGACTTATTTCAAAATCCTACACATAAATAAATACATATTCAATTTATACCATATATATGTATATATATATATATATATATATAAACTTAAGAAATAAACAAAATCTGGACTGAACTTGTTTATTATGTTGCTATTTGTTTTTTATTACTTTTACTGAACTTAAAGCCTCTCAAACCTGCTAAGTCAATTTTGATGAGCTTGGTGGTGTGTTCTTAGCAAAGAAAACTTCCATTTTCTGCAACTGAGCCTAGGGCAATTTTTATCTTCATACTGTGTGTTTTGTAGATCTCAGCCTTTTTGGGCAGTGCTCAGAAATTATATCAAGTTTTAGTGTACTATTACTAATATATGGAGTCACAATTTTTATATTTAAAATATTTAGTGTGTTACATAACTTTTTTTAGTAGGGCCCTATCTCACTCATTATATCAATTCTGCATATTTTACAGTTTTTTGTAGAGAATACTTTAAATAACCCGGGAGTTGAATAGGGTGGAGGTCAAAGTTGGGTCTACAGCTGAAAAAATTGTTAGTAAAAATTTTTATCTACTGAATAAGTTTAAAGTTAAAGACAATTTTACAATTAAGTTTGAACTATCTGATCTACTGGACTAGGCTAAAGAATGTCAAACAATAAATACTCAAATCAATTATTTATGAATTAAATTGAGAATAGAAAAATTGGACAGAAATATTTAATCATCCAAGTGCTCATACAATGTACTGTTCTTCTATCTGTGTTTCTTCCACAAAAATCTTCTTTGGAACAAAATCCTGTTTGTTAGCTAAATCTCTTTCTTTATCAGTGATGGTTTGTTTGGGGTCATACTCAGGCACAGCAGGCGCTAAAGCAAAAGTTTTAATCAACCTCTGCAGAACCTCTTCATTCAATTCATTCACCTGTAATGTACAAAAAAAGGTAAATGTTTTTAAACCTCTGCAGAAGCTTACTTTCAAAGCTGATGATCAACAGAGCTGATGAAGTATAGGTCACCAGCTCCCGTGACCTTGGCATTCAAGGTATAGTGTTGCCTTTCTATGCATGAAGATGGAAGAGGTTCAGTGCCTCCAAAAATGTTATGAGCTTCTGCCCTAGACCAATCACATCAATTCACTAGATCAAGCCTGTACACCTTAATGACATAGTCCAGCACTTATGGTGGCTTGGGCGGTTGGACATTAGAGCTAACCTGAATGAGTTCAAGGGTCTGTGTAGCATCTCTGATGGGTTCCACATTAGGTCAAGTAAAGGAAGCTGAGCATAGTGCTCAACTAACCCTTTATGTGCAGACTCAAGAAAATATGGAGGGATGCCACATTACTAAGATGCTTTTTCATTGAGCTATTGAAATCCTTTCCATCTAGAGTTTATTTATAAAAAAATAATTCCAATAAAGCTACTGACCTTCCCATTTTGAATGCTGTGATAAAGTGGCATCTGTTCAGTGACCCAACACAAGTTGACCAGCCTGTTGGCAGCATCATCTTTCCACAGTTCCAAAGTGTTCAACTGATATGCCAAAAACCTGAAATTTTGGCCATCTGTCAAAACTGTTTGACTTGTCATGGGATAAGTAAGATCCAAAATATGACTGAAACCTAACAAAAAAAACAAGAGAAATAACATTGTTCAAACTTAAAGTATCATATTTGTGAACAATTCAGTTGAATTTTTAAATGTATATAATTTAATAATTTAAGAAGCATGTGAACATAATGCACATTATTTCTGTGATTTTATACTTGCATTGATTATGATAACTAATAGATAACTATTTTTTTTAAATCTTGGTTCACAGTATCTAACATCAAAACACCAAACTGACATCATGGTTCACAGTATCTAACATCAAAACACCAGACTGACATATCATCAACCTGCAACTTCTATCTATCTTGGGGTCAGTAAGACACAAGCTTGCACGGTGTAAGTCAACTGTAAGCGTAATACAAGTTCACCTTGATTACAGGCTTGAGCAGCTAGCCAGCTGAATGTGCTGGTCAGACCAAATGCTAGATTTGTATCTTGAGAAGCTTTCTCTCCTCCTCTTGTGATGATAAAACTCAGCAAGCCAAATTCACAAGGATCTCCAAGCCTGTGACCTACAAGAGAAACAAAATGTACAGATATCAGTCACAACATGTACAGATATCAGTCACAACATGTACAGATATCAGTCACATGTACAGATATTAGTCACAACATGTACAGATATCACTTCAATAGTCACAACATAAAGCAATTATTTAGTATACAAAACCCATATAGTTTTTGTAGGGTTGAGTTTAAGCATTCATTATACATTCAAGTGTAAGTAGAAGCAAAGTTTAAGATCTCTATGTAGTTTAGTTGTACAGACTTTGTCTAGTGAGTTGTTTTCAATGGTCTAGGTCAGTAGTTCTTAACTTTTTTGGAAGTACCGAGCACCACCAGTTTCAGATGCACATTAACCAAGCCCTTGTATTTTTCAAATTCAAATCAGAGATATATATTTTACTGGTGCACAAAATGAATCCTGCATTAATATCACCATTAAAATATGATTTTCACACAAAAACAAAATGGGCCTACATAATAATGGATATTTACAGTTAAATTTACTGAAAATCAGTGTGAACTGCAACTTAAATGCAGCAAGTTTCATGTTTTTTCTATCTAAGTGCAGCTTACAGAAGTTTTTTCATAGCTTTTTCAGTGCTTGACCAGAATTGCTCAACTCGGCAAAGCAAATCATGCAGTTTAGACGCCACCCCCATCAAGTTCAATATTCCCATCAAGCCCCATTAGTTAAGTGAATTTATGTTGTTCATATTTGTTCTGCGACTTCTTTTTTTTTTTGCTCAACATAGTTCATATGAAGGGATTAAAATATTCAGAAAAAAAAAATCGCAAAAGAAAGTCAATAACTGGGCCAAGATATAGAAATAAAGTATGTCATAGCCCATATATATATATATATATATATATATATATATATATATATATATATATATATATATATATACATATACTAGCCGTCCCAGCCAGGCCCTGCACTGGCATCTCTGAAAAACGTATCTGTAAAGGACCATAACTTGTGTGTTTAGTAATCAGCATTTATCAGGCATTGCCCACCCTAAACACAACCAACCAAAACACACAAAAAACGCAAACATAACACTAACACAAAACAAACACAAACGAAAACACAAAAACAAACACAAAGACAAACCCAACCACAAACACAAAGAAAACACAAACACTAATGCAAACAAAAAGCAAACGAAAACAAATCCAAACACAAACCCAACCACAACCAAACAAAACCAAAACACACCAAAAAAACCAACGCAAACATAACACAAACGCAAATACAAACGAAAACACAAAAACAAACGCAAATACTTTCACAAACAAAACACAAACGCAAAGAAAAAATACAAACTAAAACAAACCCAAACCCAAACACAACCCAAACATAAACTCAAAATGTCTACCATCTAGCCCGGGGTGCCAAATCGCACCATGACGACGTGCGGCGTAACCGCCTGATTCAACTTAGTAAACAACTATAGAACCCAACTTATTCAGTCTTTTGAACTCACGCGAACGTAGGTACCATAGCGTACACGGGAAGGCCCGGGGCGCCAAATAGCACCCTGTCGGGGTGCCGGAGGACGCCCGGATTTGATTCACTTAAAGACAATAGTAACCTTTCTTATCAATAGTCTATCGCACTGTTTAAAACAAAATTATGCAGCATAGCGCTCACATGATAGCCAAATTGAATCGTGCAGGGGCGCCGGCGGACACGCCTGTTTCAATTTAGTGAACAAAATTATAATACTCCAAGCTTATCCGTAAATGGAAAGAAATAAACATATAGGATTTGTAGGACCTGGCTTATTAAATGTTATTGATTTAAAAAAATAATTTGTGAACAGTATGTTCAGTGTATAGAATAAATAAAAGGCGGTTTTAAAAATACCAACGACATTGCACTTAATCAATCCCCGCTAATTATGTAATTTTTTTTTTCTTAACACCAAAACAAAGTAATAAAAAGAAAATTCTTTCTTCCCCCAATTTAATGATTTTTTAAAGGGAAGTAACTGTGTAGTCAATACATTTCAGACACAATTTTAGAAATTTTATAAACGTTGATACACTTTTAAAAATTTTTATGTCATGTTCATAATTAAAAATTATTATTCTAAGTATATAAAATGAAAATTATTTTTAAAGACTTTCAATTGTAATTTTTTAACTCATAAATTTAGACCATGAGCACTATAATAAACTAACACTTAAATCCATCGAAGTATCCATGACAAACATTTTACAAACATTTTACACAGAATTGAACTTTATATATTAGATATATATATATGACCAATGTGTATGTATACGTAGCGTTGACTAAGAATCACTAATCTAGATGTTAAACCTAGTACAAGATCTAGATTCAGTTTTAGTAGATTGATGTAGCATATAAGTAAGCTGAACATGTTTGTGTATTGGTACAGGGCTGAGCAAGTTTTGAAAAAATATATTTCAAGTGTGTTTGCTTATAGATAATATTTCTAGAGTGTTTGCTTATAGATAATATTTCTAGAGTGTTTGCTTATGGATAACATTTCTAGAGTGTTTGCTTATACTTATAGATAATATTTCTAGAGTGTTTGCTTATGGATAACATTTCTAGAGTGTTTGCTTATACTTATAGATAATATTTCTAGAGTGTTTGCTTATGGATAACATTTCTAGAGTGTTTGCTTATACTTATAGATAATATTTCTAGAGTGTTTGCTTATAGATAATATTTCTAGAGTGTTTGTTTATGGATAACATTTCTAGAGTGTTTGCTTATACTTATAGATAATATTTCTAGAGTGTTTGCTTATAGATAATATTTCTAGAGTGTTTGCTTATACTTATAGATAATATTTCTAGAGTGTTTGCTTATGGATAACATTTCTCTGCAGATGAGCTCTATTACCTGCAAGTATATTTTTAAGTTGCTTTCTTCCAGCATCAGCTTGCCCATATACACAAGGTTTATACATCAGTTTGGGTGCTTCGCTCTCGATGCTCTTTCCGCTTGTTCGGCTTTCAAACTAAAATAAACTTTTATAAATGCACACACAAAAAGTAATGACAATACATCCAAGTTACTCCCCAAGAAGTATCGTGGCTCTATCCCAGACAAAACTAAATCCTATCAATGTATTTGTCATATTGGTGTAAATATGTATATTCCTTAAGCGCAAAGTGGTATCACAAAACAAAACCCATAATTTACTTAAACCTCATATGAAAAATAAATAAATAAATTATCCTATGATCAACCAGATGATATTTCGAGTCGTCCCTTTGAATCCCGGTCAGAACGTCCCCCCGTCGTGGCCTCAACCAACCGGCGGGCTTGTTGCATTGAGTTAAATATAAACTCAAAACAATAATATAAACAATCTCCTTTCAGTAGGTCAGGCCACATACCTAAACAAGTAGAAAAAATGGCTTTTTTGGCCTTTTTAGCTCCAAAAACGCGTCGCGTGACGTCATCCGCCAACCAAAACGCGGATAAAGGGCGCGTTTGATTGGTTGGTGGCTGACACTATGAAATCCTCTAGGGACGATTTGAATGGTACACCATGTGATCTTACAACACACAGTCTAGGCCTATACATATATTTTTCTATTAGCTTTAAGCCTATATTGTTAAATTGTATTTTTATTGCCAAATTAATTATTTCTTAATGCCTAATTAAAATCCAGGGTTCATGCTCAAAAGTTCAAATAAAATTCCAGGAGTTTTCCAGGACTTTTCCAGGAGTTTAAAAAAAATTCAAGGAGATTTTAAAAACAAAAAAGAAACCCAATTTGTACATTTTTAAAAAAAAAAAGCGTACTTAATAATTCATTTAATTAGCTAAGCCAATGCAAAAATTTAATTTCAGTAAAAGTAAAACAATATATTAGTTACATATTAGGATAGAGGCTATCAATCTGACTACAAAACAGTTTGAATGTTCAAAATCTGACCATAAACAAAAAAGTTACGATTTTTTTTTGTCAACAAAAAAAAATAGCAGATTTTTCAGACTACCGGGAGGGTATGGACCAAATTTTAAAGAGTTTTTCACTATAAAAGAGGTATAAATGCAAGCAGACTTCACCAATTAATATCATTTCGTATTATTTTATTGATTTTTGGATGCCAAATCCAATGAAGCTAGGCTAGTCGGCCAACCCGATGAACGTGTCAGACGAATATTATGTATTTTCAGAGACAAAAGTCTGGCAAGATTTCTTGATCTATGCCCAAGGATTAGTAACATCAACTCCACAAAGTGAAGGGGGAAGGGAGGTGGGGTATGAAACCACCGTACGAGTGTTACACAACATCAAAGGCGACGATCGTCGGCTTGGCGCGTCACGGCACGGAGTAGTGGGGGCGGGTTGAGCTATGGATGTTACGTTGGGTGTTACATACCGTGTAGGATGGTCAGTGTCTTCCCACACCCACCCCAGCCCATTTTGGTCGATTTGGCAAGCTAGTATTAAGCGTATTAACAATTTTTAGTCAACCGAAAAAAAGAACCATTGGAAAAATTTAATTTATTTTCTATAGCCATTTTTACGAAAAATTAATGTATAAAATAATGAAACGTTACGCAAATCAGCATTGTTTGATCGGGTCGCAGCTATCCGGGTTTTCTAAGTCTAAAGAAGATTAATTTTGACGATTAGTCCTGAGCCGTAAATACTATCTACAACTTTTTTTTGCTGTTTCAACAGTTTAAGACAAAGTTATGAAACATGCCTGTCTACTTTAAAAATCCAATAGCCGACAAGTCAAACACGGGAACACATGTAGGCCTATCTATCTTTAGAAATTGTTTATAGTATCATACTATCGGGTCAATCGCCTAGCGTCACGTGACCACACACTCGGCTGTGCCACACGATGTGTAGATCACGGCAGTGCGATTCAGTCGGACGACGGCCAATGCGTTAATTTTCATTTTCGTCCCATTTAAAAACTACTATTCAATTTTTGGCGGAACGAAATCAAATAATTTCGGTCGGGTTTTGCGCCACAGGTTAATAAAATTTCATGAGATTTCAGGAGAATTTTTTAAATTTCAGGAGAATTCCAGGAGGTTTTTATATTTTTTCAAATTCCAGGAGAATTCCAGGAGATTTTTACGTTTTTTAAGATTCCAGGAGTTTTCCAGGACCTCCTGGAATTTCAGGAGGCCGTACGAACCCTGAAAATCTAAACTAGGTGTAATGCAAAATTGTAATGTTTTAGATGTTAGGTAGCCTACAGTTTTTCATTCAACTATTAAAACAATTCCTGATTTATCAATAGAATTTCAAAATCTTGCATCTTCTCTAACTTTAATGTTAGATGATTTGTTGATGAATTATCAAATTGCGCCACCATGGTTACAACATTTTCTTTTAAAATTACTTGACCCATATCCTATCTAAGCTGTATTTTCTACTTTGATTAGGCCTGCTCTTCCTTTCAATTATCTGTCTAGGCCCATATTGCAGATAGATATTCCAGGACAATAAAGATCATGATTTTTCTCTTAAGTATTGTATAACATGTTTTGTAAGTGTGAACGCAAAAGTATACATGTAAAGTGGAGAAAATGTTTCCATAAAAAATTAACTTGTCAGTTAAGTGTTCTACATAGGCCTATACTAAACTATACTTTGTCCTACAAAACTACAAAGGTCTATACTAGTCATGTTCCAGCCTACTCAAACTTTACACTTATTTAAACAGTGAACTTACCTGTGGTAAAGGCATGTGACTTCTAAGCATAAGATCAAATTTTCCCTCATATGTCAAACACTGATCCTGAACATTCACATACGTCACAATATCTGGGTCGTGAATGTATTTTTGTTTCTTCCTCTCAAATCCATATCTATTCCACAGAGCTCTAACAGTAACATGCTCATCATATTGCGCTGTTTTCAAATGTGTATAATCTTTCCCAAGCTGTGCAATGAGAAAATTACTTATGCACTTTATTAGTGTATGTGCTTTGATAATTTTTTTAATTTTTGCAGGTTTAGCTGCTGAACGATTTCTGTCAAGCCATTCATGCTCCAGAAGTAAATGATCATTAATATGATTCTTGAAATCTTTTAAGAGAATTTCTAAATCATTTACAACTAAGTTATCCAAAATTTCTAATGGGACATTTTTACATGGTAAAAGCACAGTTTTGGTAGCATAGAGTCTGAAAGGTAATGTAGCTGGATGAAAATTGTTTGGTTCAAGAACCATTGTGGTGGCAGCACTTTCAATCAGTTCTTGAACTCTCTCCTTAAAATTATGAACTCTTGGATCAATAATAGGATTTTCAATCATCGCCATGGTCCTTTTATTGAGAAGTGTTTCTAGACGACCTTCAACATTTGGAATACTTAACATTTTTTGTTTTAATTCGTGCCATTGCCATGCATACGAGGGTTCCATATCACCCCAACTACCGGGGGGATATTTTGGTTTGATTAATGGATATTGAACATTATCTGCAAGATATGTGTGAGAACTTAGTGTTTTCAAATCAGAGCTCAAATATCTTTTTATTAACAATCTATGCAGAGACAATCTTGAATGAAATCGATAAATAAATTTACCACTAGCAGCAGCCATTTTCGGATAATGATGCGTCGAACAAAAAAATTAACGAAAACCAAAAACTCAACCGAAAAGCACAGCCAGCTGGAAAAGAAACCGAAGAAACTCTTTTAGGCCTATAATGCTTTTTTTTCCTTTTTTTTTTTTTTTTTTTTTTTGTTATCTCACAGAAGGCCTATTGCGACAGTTATTATTCTATTTTTACAAGCTTTTATTTAACTAACTTCCTCGTCAGTCTGTCGGCAGTCGTCAGTCTGTCGTCATTCTGTCTAAAAACGTTTTTTTATGAAATTTTTTTACAAGCTTTTTTACAAGCTTTTATTTAACTCACTTCCTCTGTCTGTCGTCAGTCTAGATCGAAACGCAGGAGTGAAAATTCGGACAGTTCTACTTGACCGATACGATTCACAGTTGGCACTTCGGTCAAGACATGAAGACAATGCAATCTGAAACTAAATTTGACTTAATTGGATGCCTAATTAACTTTTTATGAATTATTTAAAATTTGGACCGAATTAGTAGGCATGTCTATCCAACCACACCACACGCGTTATCACGTTCAATAGCTGCGCCATCACGTTCAATGATTGTAAATAAAACATGTAAAGTACTAAAAAAAAATTCATAAAAAAACGTTTTAATAACAAGCTTTTATGTAATAATGCACTAAAAAGTAGAAATTAAATTATAGACTACTATTTAAACAACTAGAAAGAAAAGCGTGGGTGTCTTCCTTAACATTAGTAAGGGTATCCAATAGATACTAAAGTGACCCACGCTTTTCTTTCTAGTTATTTAAATAGTAGTCTATAATTTATTTTCTACTTTTTAGTGCATTATTACATAAAAGCTTCTTATTAAAACGCTTTTTTTATGAATTTTTTTTTAACTCACTTCCTGTCTGTCTGTCGTCAGTCTAGAAAAAATTCCCGGAATTCCTTCCTGGATTTCCCGGAAAAGCCAAAAAACCCTCGGAAAAATATGAAGTTTTTGGCCCATATCTCGGCAACCAGACCACTTAGCGACTTGAAACATTTACCAATCGATTCCTGCCATAATTTAGAACAATATTGCCGAAGAAAGTTTTCAAAAATATCCTTTCGTTCGGTCACAAAAAATTAATTAAGGAAATTGCGCTTATTTTGTCACTAGACTTTTTATTAACTTGTTTATTGCTTGTCTCATAACAAGTCCGAATACTGCAATTTGCATACAGTTAAGGCCACTAGACCTACTAAACGATGTAAAAAAAAAAAATGGTACATCACGACAAGAGGTGATGCTTTGTCACTTTGTTCAACCTAACTGATAATTTAAAACTATGATATACTATTATCGAAATTGTGTCTTGACCTCCGCCGAAACTCTGAGACTTACATACCGAACACCTGTTTAGTGATGTTATTTACTGATATTGTGCCCTAACCACCACTTTTTCAATGCTCTTATTTCAATCTCCGCTGTCTGTAATCTAGCTCGGAACCATACAGTAAAAGAGACTAAACATTTAGCTATAGATCAGGGGTTCCCAACCTTTTTTTTTACTCTAGAGCACATTCTAAAATATCCGTAGGGTGGCGGGCACCACCTATTTTAAATCGACATACTCCTTCCATAACTGGTCATTTTCCTATAATTTATTATCTTATTTTCGTATAGTCATAATGTATTAATAAATAATAAACAAAAATGTTTGAAAATAATAAAATTATTTGGCATTTTTTTCAAATTGCATACATACAGAGAAATGTATTTACAAAACGTAAAGAAAGTAAACAAAACACATAAATACAAAGGAAACATTTAATTAATCGGCACCAGTCAAAAATAGTTCCTTAAACAACTCACCATCAATGAAAGGTTACTTCTTTTTTGCGAGTATGGGAGATATTTTGAAAGAAGCAATAGTGGTCTAGTGAAAACAGTCTATTGTGCTGTTAGACTTGATTTTAGATTACAATTTTATAGCGCAATTTCCATTCTGGAGAATTGCGTTTATTAACCCGTCATTTCTGGATGGATGTGTGTTCGCAGCTTTGAGTCGTATCTCCTCCTCAACGAAGCAATATCGAGGACTAGTTCCAAAAGCAATTATGTTAAGCAAGTTACGAGGATGGTTGTGGGCCAAAAAAAAAAAAAAATCCGGAATTCCCCCCCCCCCCCCCCGAAAATTTTTTACCGCCCCCCCCCCCCCCCGAACGAAATGAAATTTATATAGAAAATATATACTTTTAACAGTGTCCGCCCCCCCGAAGAAAGTTTACCGCCCCCCCGAAAATTTCAAGTGCCCCCCCCCCCCCCCGGAGAAAAAAGTCTGGAAGAAACACTGGATGAGAGGTGTAGTAATGTATAAAAGACAGGCAGACAGACACACACACAGACCGACAATACTGGGCTGGGGATGAGATTGTTGTGTGGCCTTTGTTTAATGAAATAGCTTGTTATTCAAACATTAAAAAGATCACCTTACTACAATGTGCCTACATTTTTCAAAGAATTAATATTTATACTGGGTATTTAAATAAATAATTAAATATGTAACAAAATTTGAGGCTGATGTGTGAATAGTGAATAATCTTATATTTTTACTTATTATTAAGAAGATGAAAGTGGGATTATTACAAGTGTGTTATGAAAAATACCACCCATCTATATATATAATTCTCTTCTGGGGGCCGTTAGAAAACAAGCTGCAAGCGCCTCCTTGCAGTCCCCTCTCTTTCTCTCTATCACTACCACCCCCACCCCACATTGTCTGGTGAGCTGTGTTCACTCTAAATGTTTACAAATCGTAGAGCCGGGTTTCTATTAGGGGCAGATAATTTAGTTCGATTTTAAACTTACAGGAGGTAACTAAGAAATAACTAAGAGGAGGCTGCTTTCACGGGGGGGGGGGGGGGGGGGGGGGGGGTAGGGTCGGGGTTAGGGGAAAGGGGGGGGGGGGGTTAGTGTTTTAAAGCAAATATTTTCAGTGGCAGCATTGGTACTGTCGAATTCACAAATTATGAATTACTGAAAAGTAGAAAATAAAACAACTAAATAGCGGCTTATGATACGCTGCGGGTCGGCTCGTAATTCTATATTTCTCAACATATAAATCAACAAATAATCACATATCTTTGTAGATATTTTCTGTCATTTTTTGTCAGCTCAGTCTGTAAACATCACAAACTATTGAGTGGTTAGAAAACAAGGATTTTATTGTGAAATTTCTCAAAACTAGGAGAAATTACATCTTGCCCTGTGGTCAGGCTCTGTCTGCACAAGACACTGATTGTTGGGGAATTAGTACCCTAATGTGGCGTAGCTACCGTAAACAAGGCATAGGGGCCCAAGCAAATAGGGACCCTTTTCCCTCTTTAATTTTTAAAAACTTTTACATTGGAATTTTATTTGTATTATAAAAATAATTATAAAAAGAAAACGGAAATCCAGTTTCTTTTCTACTGTAGAAGTAACAAAATATCTAAAAAGGCCCCCAGACATTTGTAACTGGGGAGGGGTGGGGGTTGTACAAGGCCCATCGGTATTAATAACACTATAGGCATTGTTGGGCAAGCCGTTGATAGAATTAGCCAATAAATAAACTTAAACATTGACTTTTTTTGTGAGATTGGCATCCGGCACCCACAAATTTATACGCAACGCTAAAAACTCTCTATACCACCAACCTGCACCCCCTACCCTCTCAACTCTTTGTCCTCAACAAAAATTCATCCATCCATGATTACAATTGAGCCATTTTTTTAAAAATAACAGTCGGGGACAGTGTTTTCACAACAAGTTGAGTCGAAAATGTGTCAATGTTTCTCTAGTTTTAACCTTAATCACAATTTGCTTGTTTATCTAATTTATCTCTAATCATCAATATGCCGCTACTCAAAGATTTTTGTTTGTCTGTCTCCTTGTCCTTTATGCATTAATACTAAAATGATCCAATCGCCAAGAAACATGGGGAAGTCGTTTAGAATAGTTCAGACAAACCTCTACTGATCGTGAAATTTCCTACCACAACCCCATACACGAGGAGCAGTGCAAATTTCGTTCGGAGAGCGGCCCCTTGACAGTAAGGCGGTTAGGTTTGCCACCAAGAGATTCCCAGCGGCTTTCTTAGCACCTGGGGTCAGTTAATTTAGTGTCCTGTACAAGGGGTCAGGGTTACTGCTAATTCAACGGTCAAACTGCACATGTGCATCAGCCGGCGCCCCGGGCTCCCCCCGTGAGCAATACGGCGCATACAATTGTTTTAATGAGCGCCATGTCAGAGGGATACGGAGGGCTACTATAATCAATGGCTAAAGAAAATAAGGGGTGTCCTCCAGCCGCATCGGCAGTAGTATACAGATGGGCGCCCCAAGTCTCTCCATTATGATGATGTTATGAAACAAGTTGTATGCCCTTTGGGTCAGTAACTTGGACACCCTAAGTATCGAACATACAGAAGTAGCTTTAATGGATTTCAAGGAACATATTAATTACTTTGCAAATGTATAAGAAAGAAAAAAAATAATTTAAATAAATCATGAGCAACTTTTTAAAATGAGTATTTGGTTAGTGGCTTCACAAGGTTCGATATCATCCGGTGTGTTTAGTGAGTGTCACCCCAACCCAGTCTAACAATTTTGCATTTCTGGTGGAGTGTTATCCCCTCTCCTTAATATTGTATTATTTTCACTGAATAAAACATAGTTTTATAGTAAGTTTTGTCATGGTGTCACGCCTAAATTGTGAGTAGCCCCGCCTCGTATAGCTACTGTGTTAGGTTACTTAAAGGTTACAAGCTTACAGTTAATTTGTTTTTTCATAAAAGTGATATAAAATCAAAGGTATTTTATGCTACAGGTACTACATAATTATACTGTATGTAACACATATGGTTAACAGCCAAGGGGGATAAAAATATGAAGTTTTAATTCATTGAGTTGCGGCCCCTGTGGGGTCGTGGCCCTGTTGACGTAGTTGTTTTTTTCATGCTCTGGTGCGCGATTTTACCCGTGTCCCATGTCATGTGACATGGGACTGTGGGTAGTTCATGCCTAACCGTGTCAGTCACACGCAAGGCTGCTGTCTGTGGACACGGTGACCAAGATGTAGACCTAATGAAGGGCTACAGTTTTTTTCTTGGCTAGTTTGTTTTCTTGGTTTCTTGTTGCTTCAGTATTTTCTCTTTGAAATCGTCGTACTACTGTGTTGCATCGCTTTCATGGCTCGATGCTGTAAATAAAGCGAGTACTTGACAACAACTGTCGGTGTCAGTGTGTTCTTGGGTAAAAGCATCCCCAATGAGTGAGGGTTACGCTGTATATATACACAAATATGGGCGTATAAAATACACAATTCACAGATTAAAGTAGGGGCCCAATAGTAATTTTTACATAGGGGCCTGAAAATCCTAGCTACACCACTGGTACCCTAACCCTACACATTTTTGTATTGTTTTAAGAAATGACTGACAATTTTAAAAATACAAAACAAAATGGATGATTATAATGTATTTAATTCAGGTAGTTTCCTCTGTATAACAACACACATTTTTAAAATTAAGTTTTTTATTTTGTTTTTAATTTTTAAAATTCCTTGTCATGTCATATTGTCATATAACTTCCTTAATACACGAGTATACCAAGTTAACAAAAGATATGTTGAGCAACTGTCCAAACAACTAAAAAATTCATGTATACCGGTAATTTTTACAAGCTCATTAACAAAACTAGAACTATTAGTAATTTTGTAGACTATTTCTAGAACTTAGAAATTATCTTTATTTGAAGTTTGATATGATTCAGTAATTATTTAAGCTATACTTTATAGGACAGACTGAATGATTTCTAGATTAAGAGTTACAATTGTTAAAGTTATACTATGTGTGACTGAATAATTTCTAGAATAAAAGTTAGTGTAATTAAAGTTATACTTTGTATGACTGACTGAAGACTTTCTAGATTAAGAGCTACAGTGGAATCTAGAAGAAAACAAAACATCAATTTTGCTTTTTTTAAAATAAATAATAAAACACTGCTTTGATGGAGACACTAGATTGTCATCCATCTTCATCAAATTCTTCATCACATTCTTCTACAGAATCATCTTCATCTGAATCCATCACACTTTTTTTCTTTAGTGATGATGAACTGCTGCCAAATTGTTCATCACTGCTCAGAATTATACAAAAAAAAAAAAGAAGTTAAATGGAGGGCGAAGTCTACACTTATAAAGTGATTATTAAAAACACATAGAATTCATGTATGTCTAACCAAGTAAAAGTAGAAGAGTGAGTTAGACCAGTTTTATAAGTGTCTAGTTTTTTTTTCCACAGTTGTAGTTTTATAAGTGTCTAGTTTTTTTTATCACAGTTGTAGTTTTATAAGAGTCTAGTTTTTTTTTTTATCAAAGCTGTAGTTTTATAAGTGTCAAGTTTTTTTTTCCACAGTTGTAGTTTTATAAGTGTCTAGTTTTTTTTTATCACAGTTGTAGTTTTATAAGTGTCTAGTTTTTTTTTTTTTTATCAAAGCTGTAGTTTTATAAGTGTCAAGTTTTTTTTATCATAGTTGTAGTTTTATAAGTGTCAAGTTTTTTTTTATCATAGTTGTAGTTTTATAAGGGTCAAGTTTTTTATCATAGCTGTAGTTTAATAAGTGTCAAGTTTTTTATCATAGTTGTAGTTTTATAAGTGTCAAGTTTTTTTTATCATAGTTGTAGTTTTATAATTGTCAAGTTTTTTATCATAGTTGTAGTTTTATAAGTGTCAAGTTTTTTATCATAGTTGTATTTTTGGTGACGGTAAACTGCAACGGAAAAAGTGCGCACAGGCATTTTTTGTTTTCTTAAATCAAGCATTTACAGGTATTAACAAAGAGTGAGTGCATGTACATTTGTAACATAATAAAACATCTTTCAATGGCATCGGACAAAATTTAAGTGTTTTAGAATCAGTTTTCCGTTACGCAGTGTTCCGATAACGCATTTCTGGGAACCGTATTTTTACAATTTCCTTCGGACTTTGTAGATAGTTCTTATAATTATTCCTTTTTGAATACAACTTGTTTTAAATTTATGCAAAAATATAATAATGAGGTTTGGTAAATATTTAATCACAATTCTCTTTTAATTGCTGTAAATCTTAAGTGTGTAAAAGAATTGTTAAATAAAATGTGTCAATTTGATGTTTAAAAAAATAGATATTGAGTCAAGTAAGTTTCTGACTGATAAAATGTGTCAATATGATGTTTAAAAAAATATATCGGATATTGAGTAAAGTAAGTTTCTGACTTATAAAATGTGTAATTACCAAGGATCTTCAGATGTCCCTATAAAAGAAGCTGAGTCCAGTGCAGGCATTTGTTGTTCACCTCTAAGCCGGGGCAACTGGTTCAAAGTTTCACACAATTTCTGGCCCATTTCTTCAAGCATTTCAGTGTTCATTTGCATATCCTTTCAAAACACACACACAATAAAATTGATGACATCTAGCTATCTAGACATACTACAAAAATACTACAAAATCTCAATGAAGTTAGAATATTTATTCCTTTTATTTTTAGGTTCAATTGTCAGATGAACTCACCTGCATGATTGTTTATGTCAAGTTTTCAATTGAAAAATAACGTACTCAATAATAATGTCAAACAATTTAGTTTTGCAAGTTTTTGCTCTCAAGTAAAATATATGTAGACTAATATTCTAATATTGTAGTTTTAATCTTTATCCAAGGTAGAAATGCTATACTGCTTTGTTATCCCAGAAAAAATGGTGTTCTAGATGTTCGTCTTGTTTCTTCAACACTTCCCAGAAAATCTATCCTATAATCTATACCAGGGGTCTGCAAACTACGGCCCGCGGGCCGGATGCGGCCCGCGAGGTCCTTTCGTCCGGCTCGCGGAGATCTTTTTGTTCACGGAAAAAAAATGTTTGTTAGAGGTGGCTGAGGAACTTTGCCCAGAAAATTTAAAACAATTTGAAAATGTAGCTTTGGTTGCAAATAACATTGCCCTCCGTGTTGCAGACATTGATGAAAACATTGTGACTCAAAGAGTGACAACTGCTAACAAGTTTCGCAATTTTTCAATTGCAATGGATGAGTCGCTGGACAGTTGTTCCATGTTTTTGGAACAAGTACAGGCCAACAACTTGACGCACTTTCAGCAGTGCAAGGCCTTCATGGCTGAAGCAACAGCTGTGTTCCCCACATCATTTGTATGCGAGATCACCAAAGACCTCCAGCTGCACTTTCAGTAGCGGTTTTTTGACTAGGATTCAAAGGCAGAAAGAGAGAGAGTCTGTTTCAAACACGAATTGAAGCAAATGTAACCAGTTGCCCAGATGAACAGCAGATGGAGGTCATTGATTTGCAAGCAAATGACCTCCTTAGAGACAAGTTAAAAAAATGGCGGGTGGGTTTTTGAGTTTGCCCAAGGAGAACAAACTTGAACCTCGAGTGTGTTGTCGGCCCACGACAGTGTTTCTTTCAGACTTTCTCCTGGGGGGGGGGGTGGGCAGTTAAAAAATATATATATATATTTCTATATATATTATATTTCGTTGGAGGGTGGTGCGGGGGGACTCCGCCACCCCAAAGAGATGCATGGAAGAAACTCTGGCCCCCGAACTGATATTTGATCGTTAATGCGGCCCTCGGGCTGAAAAGTTTGGAGACCCCTGATCTATACCACTGTTTCAATACTCACTTTTTAAGTTACTTCAACTGTAAATAAGGTCTAAGATAAACATGGGCAAGCTGATAGAAGTCTGCTACACTCTGAAAACACAAACACCCTGACACCACACACACCCTGACATCACAAAGACAGACCCTGACACCACACACACACAGACCCTGACACCACACACACAGACCATGACACCACACACACAGACCCTGACACCACACACACAGACCCTGACACCACACACACAGACCATGACACCACACACACAGACCCTGACACCACACAGACAGACCCTCACACCACACACACCGACCATGACACCACCCACACAGACCATGACACCACACACACACACAGACCCTGACACCACACACACAGACCCTGACACCACACACACACACAGACCATGACACCACACACACAGACCCTGACACCACACAGACACAGATCATGACACCACACACACACAGACCCTGACACCACACACACAGACCATGACACCACACACACAGACCCTGACACCACACACACAGACCCTGACACCACACACACCCTGACACCACACACACAGACCCTGACACCACACACACACAGACCCTGACACCACACACACAGACCCTGACACCACACACAAACAGACCATGACACCACACACAAACAGACCATGACACCACACACACAGACCCTGACACCACACACACAGACCCTGACACCACACACACACAGACCATGACACCACACACACAGACCATGACACCACACAAACAGACCATGACACCACACACACAGACCCTGACACCACACACACAGACCCTGACACCACACACACAGACCATGACACCACACACACACAGACCATGACACCACACACAAACAGACCCTGACACCACACACACACAGACAGACCCTGACACCACCCACACAGACCATGACACCACACACACACACAGACCCTGACACCACACACACAGACCATGACACCACACACACAGACCCTGACACCACACAGACACAGATCATGACACCACACACACACAGACCCTGACACCACACACACACAGACCCTGACACCACACACACACACAGACCCTGACACCACACACACCCTGACACCACACACACACAGACCCTGACACCACACACACACACAGACCCTGACACCACACACACCCTGACACCACACAAACAGACCCTGACACCACACAAACAGACCATGACACCACACACACACCCTGACACCACACACACAGACCCTGACATCACACACACAGACCCTGACACCACACACACACAGACCATGACACCACACACACACACACAGACCCTGACACCACACACACAGACCCGAAACCACACACACAGACCATGACACCACACAAACAGACCCTGACACCACACACACAGACCCTGACACCACACACACAGACCATGACACCACACACACAGACCCTGACACCACACACACAGACCCTGACACCACACACACAGACCATGACACCACACACACAGACCCTGACACCACACACACAGACCCTGACACCACACACACACAGATCATGACACCACACACAGAAAGACCCTGACACCACACACACAGACCCTGACACCACACACACAGACCCTGACACCACACAGACAGACCCTGACACCACACAAACAGACCCTGACACCACACACACACAGACCCTGACACCACACACACACACAGACCCTGACACCACACACACAGACCCTGACACCACACACACAGACCCTGACACCACATACACAGACCCTGACACCACAAAGACCCTGACACCACACACACAGACAGACCCTGACACCACACACACACACAGACCCTGACACCACACACACACACACAGACCCTGACACCACACACAGAGACCCTGACACCACACACACACACAGACCCTGACACCACACACACAGACCCTGACACCACACACACAGACCCTGACACCACACACACAGACCCGACACCACACACACAGACCCTGACACCACACACACAGACCATGATACCACACACACAGACCCTGACACCACACACACAGACCATGACACCACACACACAGACCATGATACCACACACACAGACCCTGACACCACACACACAGACCATGACACCACACACACAGACCCGACCCCACACACAGACCATGACAACACACACACAGACCATGACACCACACACACACACACAGACCATGACACCACACACACAGACCCGACCCCACACACAGATCATGACACCATACACAGACAGACCCTGACACCACACACACAGACAGACCCTGACACCACACACACAGACCATGACACCACACACACAGACCCTGACACCACACACACAGACCCTGACACCACACACACAGACAGACCCTGACACCACACACACAGACCCTGACACCACACACACAGACCCTGACACCACACACACAGACCCTGACACCACACACACAGACAGACCCTGACACCACACAAACAGACCCTGACACCACACACACAGACCCTGACACCACACAAACAGACCCTGACACCACACACACACAGACCCTGACACCACACACACACACACAGACCCTGACACCACACACACACACAGACCCTGACACCACACAAACAGAACCTGACACCACACAAACAGACCCTGACACCACACACACACAGACCACGACATCACACAAACAGACCCTGACACCACACACACACAGACCCTGACACCACACACACACACACAGACCCTGACACCACACACACACAGACCCTGACACCACACACACACAGACCCTGACACCACACACACACAGACCCTGACACCACACAAACAGACCCTGACACCACACACACAGACCCTGACACCACACACACACACAGACCCTGACACCACACACACACACAGACCCTGACACCACACACACAGACCCGAAACCACACACACAGACCCGAAACCACACACACAGACCCTGACACCACACACACAAACCATGACACCACACACACACACAGACCCTGACACCACACAAACAGACCCTGACACCACACACACACAGACCCTGACACCACACACACACACACAGACCCTGACACCACACACACACACACAGACCCTGACACCACACAAACAGAACCTGACACCACACAAACAGACCCTGACACCACACACACACACAGACCCTGACACCACACACACACAGATCCTGACACCACACACACACAGACCCTGACACCACACAAACAGACCCTGACACCACACACAGACCCTGACACCACACACACACACAGACCCTGACACCACACAGACCCTGACACCACACACACAGACCCTGACACCACACACAGACCCTGACACCACACACACACAGACCCTGACACCACACAGACCCTGACACCACACACACAGACCCTGACACCACACACACACACAGACCCTGACACCACACACACACAGACCCTGACACCACACAGACCCTGACACCACACACACAGACCCTGACACCACACACACACACAGACCCTGACACCACACACACACAGACCCTGACACCACACACACAGACCCGAAACCACACACACAGACCCGAAACCACACACACAGACCCTGACACCACACACACAAACCATGACACCACACACACACACAGACCCTGACACCACACACACAGACCCTGACACCACACAAACAGACCCTGACACCACACACACACAGACCCTGACACCACACACACACACACAGACCCTGACACCACACACACACAGACCCTGACACCACACAAACAGAACCTGACACCACACAAACAGACCCTGACACCACACACACACACACACAGACCCTGACACCACACACACACACAGACCCTGACACCACACACACACAGACCCTGACACCACACAAACAGACCCTGACACCACACACACAGACCCTGACACCACACACACACACAGACCCTGACACCACACAGACCCTGACACCACACACACAGACCCTGACACCACACACACAGACCATGACACCACACACACACAGACCCTGACACCACACAGACCCTGACACCACACAGACCCTGACACCACACACACAGACCCTGACACCACACACACAGACCCTGACACCACACACACACAGACCCTGACACCACACAGACCCTGACACCACACACACAGACCCTGACACCACACACACACACAGACCCTGACACCACACAGACCCTGACACCACACACACAGACCCGAAACCACACACACAGACCCAAAACCACACACACAGACCCTGACACCACACACACAAACCATGACACCACACAAACAGACCCTGACACCACACACACAGACCCTGACACCACACA